CGTGGAGGTTCACCTTCCTGTTCTTTAATGTTTTCCCCCTACAACAGTCACTGTTGTCTCCACCAGACTTCCTTCCCCACCCTTCCTCACTCTGTGGACACCTCCCTGGCCTGAGTGCCCCAGGGATGGACTTAGGACAGATCCAGAGGAATTCAACCTCAGCTCCACTTCCCACCTTCAATCCTTTCTTCCTAGCCAAGGATAAATACATTTCCTTCCCACTGTTATTTGAGGAAGAAGGAAACTTAAACATCCTCCAGGTGGACTGGAAAGATCCCAAGGAAGGGTGTTTAACTTGTTAGAATGACCCTGTTATCAATGAAAAAACCAGGCTTCTCCCTAGAAAGCAACATCCAAGTGGGATCCTGACTCTCATGCTTCTGGCGGCCAGCTATGTCCTATAAGTTGGGTTTCACCTACTAGGCCCTCTGGGACTAATTTCCTAAGTAGGAAAACCCCTCCCAACCCCATCCCTTTCTCTGAGACGGGGTCTTACTATGTTGCCCTGGCTGGCCTAGATGCCTCTGTCTCTTGAGTGCTGAGGTCAAAGGCATATGCCACCATGACTAGCAAGATTTCTTTCTTAATACTAAATTAAAAATATGGAGCAAAGTTTTGATAGCCTTCCTCCAGGCTGCTGACAAACTCTGACATAGAATGATGACACAGCATTCCTTCAAGGAGATGTTCCTTCCCTCTCTTTGACTCTAAATGTCAGACTTTCACAAGGTAAGTAGACTTCTTAAACCACTTATCTTTTTTATTTTTAACCACTTTTCCACAACAGCTGGTGAAGAAAATAGTAACATTCTTTAGCTCATTTCAAGGAGTAGCATTAAATGTTCTAGCACATGGCTGCCTCCCCAACAGAATTAGCTTTTAGAATTTCTTGACCGACCTTGGTAAGTGAGGTCCACTCCCAGGTGCACTGCACAGTCCTGTATTCTCAGACCCTTATTCACAGTCCTAACCAGCCGGCTCAGGCTTCACGTTTGACAAGGCCCATGGAAAATGGAGTTGCTTTCTCATGCCCCTGGAAGGGTGGGTCAACTGCCCTTATAAATACCAAATTGTTGATTCAACACTGTTATGGCACAGGGAAGATAATCACCTCAATAACCTCTTCATCCTAAAAAGGTTTTTGTTTTTGTTTTAACTTTAAATCACTGAGTTGATGGTTTAATCCAAATGAGAACCAGCATGATTGTGACATTTTAAATCTCAAAAGTACAGCCTTCTCACTTGCATTCTTTGCCACATTCTCTTTGCTCCCCATGGAACAGGGTAGGCAGACCTGGCAAGTTCAGAGCCATGGCAGGTGATGGTTGTCATGTTTTCCAGGAGACCACTAGCGTGACAGAGGCCAGGTGCAGTGGATGCCTGATGCCTGCCCCTCAAGACTAAAAATATCATGTCTGGTCTGAAAACTGTTTCACTAGACTACTCCTTAACTCTACCTACCTGGCCAGATTAGAATGCTGTATCCATTAATTTTTAAAAATTATTTATTTATTTGTACAAGTGTTTTGAGTGCTGGTATGTGTATTGGAGTATGTGTGTGTGTGTGTGTGTGTGTGTGTGTGTGTGTGTGTGTGTGTGCGTGCGCGTGTGTGC